CAGTCGTGTGCTATCTAAATAAATACGTTTTGGAACTTTCACCTCATGAAATAATCGTGCACAGGAAACTCGAATGATCATCTGCGAATCTGAGAGAGAATTATGGATGTAATATCTATTCAGATAACTAGTCTGACCTTAAACATTAGAAACTCGTAATATGAATCTGTTAAAACCAGACGTAACGTCAAGACGAATGGGCTTTTTCTTTTATTACTGATCACAAGGCTTTTAGGGTTAGTGAAATTCGCTAAAAATGATAGTTCTTATTATTCTTTCACGCGCCGAGTACTATACATATATATTGATACATTTTGTACCAAAAAAAAACAACAACAACAATAACAACATTAAATATCGATCAATGTCAGAAGTTTAAATTCTTGACTTTATATTCACCCTCTAGTGGTATTTTAAAAAAATTACACGATTTTTCTTCAGTAAATATAATTTTCCTTTTCAATCTTTATTTGTTCAATTCTGCCTCCTTGTATTGCACCAAAGCTAATCCTACTGTAGCTTAAAAACGTGACTGATATTTTGTTTAATGTGTTTGTTTGTTTTGAATTTCGCGCAAAGCTACACGAGGGCTTGTTTAATGCGACTGCAATTCGTTATCATGCAATACAAACAATTAAATTTCAAACATCTAGCAATATTACTGCTTGTATTTATGATTAGAGCTTGTGGATGGCGAACTTCTCAACAGACAGTGAGGTAAAACACTATATCGTGCGTCGCTATGGGTAAAATATATATTCTCTATGCGCGCAAAATTTCAGATTGTCATGTAAGTGAATGCATTTCTTCTCTCTTCGTAAAACATATATTCTCGTTTCGAATTAATTGTAATTAATACCAACAGATGGCGCTACGCTGACAAAACATTTCAAACGTGTAACTTTAAAAACGTGAAGGTTCATATAAGGTAACCGAAACGTCGTCTCTCGCTATACTTCTTCGCATATGATGACAATGTAACACTTTTAATTTAATCAACTGTGCTCTACCTGCTATCCTTGTCTCTCAAGCAACAATTTAACCCCTTTCTCCACCTAATAATACAGATCGGGGTCATTGTTAACAGATAATATTCAGTTTATGTTTTTAGTAAACGATTTTCAACTGGTGTTTCGTGGTATAAGTTTAAAAATTATTAATTTGTGTTTCTTTGATAGACAATGATGAATATATGTGTGTTTGGTAGATAAAACTGAATTTGTGTATAATTTTTATAGACATTACTGAATGTGTGTGTTTGGTAGACCATAATGAATTTGTTTGTATTTTTTATAGATATTACTGAATGTGTGTTTGGGAGACAATAATGAATTCGTGTGTATTTTCATAGACATTACAGAATGTGTTTGTTTGGTAAACAGTAATGAATTTGTTTTTCACTGGTTGTAGCTAAAACAATTGCACTTATTGTTTTAGAAGGTATTTATAAACTCCAGAGATAGTAGCCTTGAAACAATTG